CCCCCCCCCCCCCCCCCCCCCAAAAAAAAAGGGCAAAGTGGCCATAGCTTGCCAAAGCCCATTTTGCCGCTGATCCACTTGACGTAATGCCCATGTGCGTTGCTTTTCTGCATGTCTGTGCTCCGGGTCGTTGGTGCTCGTTGAGGTTGTGAGTGCGTTTCAGGAGTTCGGAATTCGGAAGATGGAGCGCGGAGCGCGGAGGTGGAGGCTTTGATGCTGCACTTTTGCGGCATGCTCTTGCCTTGCTTCCTTGCCTCCAACCAAAGCGCAGTTGCTTTGCACTTCCAACCTTTGTGGGGGCAGGATGGTGCCACGTATACCCGGCACGCTACGGGGACTCTCCACCTCTGCCAAGGTGCATCTTCAGCACGTGCTGTACTTTGGCGATGTGCTGGGGTACAACTCTGTGCAGCGCTTGGCCAAGTTTCCTCGCGCATGGATCGACGCGGTGGGTGCATCGGCCGACATCGACCATGGTGTTGCATTCACACATGCGGTCGGGTCACCCACGCACTCGATACTCTCGTACACTCTCCTCGACACGCCGCTTACTCGAGCGCGTCGACGAGAAGCGACACTTGAGCCAACGACCAACGCAGCGGCAGAGCAGGTAGGGCAGGAGGAGGGGGAGGTGATTGGTGAGGAGCCAAGACGGAGGATCGCGCAGAGCAAGGTGTTTGCACTGGGCCGCAATACTCATGCGCAACTAGGGCTGGGATTTGCATCGCAAGAAGCCACGCGTGGCATGGTCACTGGCGACATCACCGGCAAAGGCGGCATCACCCACGTGGCGGCCGGGACGGGGTTTAGCTTTGTTGTCACCGCCGACGAGGGCGAGTCCAAGGTGTACGGATTTGGAAACGACACTTTGGGCCAGCTGGGCTCGTCCTCGACGATCGAGGAGGCAAGGTGGGATGCATACGATATATCAACGCGGCTCGACGCATCATCTGCCCCGCAGCTGCGGTTGCTACCACTGCCCAAACAAATCCCACTCGACGAAGGATGGACTGTTCGCAGCATCGCCACCGGTATCGATCACACCCTCCTCCTAGTCGAACGCAACGTTGCTGGACACCTTGTCCAGGAAGTGCTCAGTACGGGTCTGAATACGGATGGCCAGCTTGGCGTTACACCCGTTGAACGCGGGGATGCGGTTCCTATCCAACCACTCATCTCACGCACCTTCACCCGCGTACCCCTCTCCATTCCAGAGGAAGAGATGGTGGGGATGGCTTGTGGGGCAGATACATCCTACGTGCTACTGCGCAGTGGCGACTTGTACGCATGGGGCAACTCCGAATACGCCCAGACGCTTGCTGGTACCCACGATCGCATCACCACCCCCACGCACATTCCCAACCCGCTCATCACCGCATACACCTCGGCCAACCTCCCCTTCGACACCATCACGCCACCTAGGATAAACAAGATCGTGGCGGGTGGATCGTTTGCTGTCCTTCTGGACTCCAACCATCGCCTCTGGACAGTCGGCTACGGAGTAGGCAACGCCACTGCGGCGGAAAAGCTCGTTTTGGTCGAGGCTTTGCCCCAGGGGAGCGTGGAGAATGTCTGGGCGGGGCTAGAGTACGTTGTGGCTACGACACGCGAGGATGGCAACGTCAAGGTGTGGATTTGGGGGATTTTGCCGCGCAGTATCGCAACCGTGCCGGTAACTACGCCAATGCAGGTCCCCTTTACCGTGCCAAAGTCCCCCAGGCAGCAGTATCTCGATGAAAACCCGAGCCTCAAGAACGATTGCAGCCAAGAGCAAAGGGATGGCGAAAAGGTCAAGATCACAGCTGCTGCATGCACAAGAGATCACGTCATTCTTGTCTTGGACGATGGCAAGGGCAGGAACGTCTGGGCAGAGTGCGTACAGCCCCCCCGCGACAAGGGTACAGACCTGGTGTAGCGTCCGGCATCTCGCCACGCAGCAGCAACATCATGTCTGTCGATCCGCCATCCCGCTCGCCATCCAGCACCGAGATCATCTTGTTCAGTTGTCCATCCCGTTCGCACTCCACCAGCTTGCCACCAGGATCCCGCTTGCTATACAGAGCCGACATCACCTCGCTCCCAATCCACCATTCGCTCGCCGTTCACCATCCCGTTCGCCATGCAGAAAGCAACACCGTCTCGTTCAATCCTGCATCCCGCTCGCAGTCCAGCAGCATGCCATTCAGCTCAGCACTTCGTCTCTCGCCAGCACCGTCGTGGGGGATCAGATTGACATTCGAACCGGGAATCTACAATGCTTGTGACGGTGGTCTCGGCGTCGGAGGACCGACCCACAATGCGAGCGATCGTGGAACAGGCTCTCGATGTCGGAGGAGGAGATCATTACGATGGGCTCCACCGCTCCGACTGCATGATCTGAGATGAGCTCTCTGTGTCGCCGAACGGACCTGCAATACTTGCGATGGTGGAGAAACCCTCGATGCCGCAAGTGGGGCCTAGAGTGCTGCGAGTATCGGACACCTACAATGCATTGGATCTCGGAGAGCTGCCTGGTGTAGGAGGGACGCACGATGCTTGCGAGGGTGGGACGAGCCGTCGTGTAAAACGAGGAGGACAATGCGATCGTGTGCTCCGACTCCGTGCGATGGGCGAGAGCTAGCCTTCGACGTCGGACGACGACGGCAGTGAGATGATGTCGGTCCAGCCCTCCGGCGTCGGGCTGGCGTCCGCGTCCGTGTCCGAGTCTCGACCCGCCGTGCGACCCGACGAATACGGCTTGCGCCGCTGCTCCGAGCCGCTCGCACCCGCACCCGCAACCGCACCTGCACGCGGCCGCTTCGTCGGTGTCACCTTTACACTCAGCGAGGCTTGAGGCAGCCGCTCCGCCGTCAGCGTCGGCGAGGGCGGCTCGATTGCGACGGCCTCCAGTTCCAGCATCGTGTGCTTCTTCTTGCGGCCCGTAGGAGTCGCTTCCTTGCTTGATCCCGGTGCCGGCCAGGGTGACGTGGCCATAAGCCCGTCGAGCTCCACCTGGAGCTTCTGCACCTCTGCGACAGCGGCGTTGGTATCTTGGACGCGCTGGCCGAGCGCACTGGTGTACTCGTTGTGCTCGCGCCTTGGGCGATCCGCCTCGTAAAAGTATCGTTGATAGAGCTCCTCTTCGCTCCGGTTGGCACGAATGACGGAGAGCGCCTCGTTGCGCAGCGTCGAATGCAGGGTCTCCATGATGGTCGTCGGGATTCGCATGCACTCCTTGGCGACCTCGAGCGCAAAGAAATTGAAGTCGGCGCGCAGCTCAGCCATGAGCCGCAGCATGCCTTCTTCCTCGGCTCCGATCATCAGACGATGACCAAGGATGAGCTGCGGCAGCATCGGAATTTTCCCGCTTGCGCCATCATCGCTCGCCGCTGCTGCGGCTGTGCTCTTCGCCTTTCTCCTCTTCTTTGGTGTGGCGGGGGGAGAGGCCGGATCGGCCGTGTCGTATTCCACCGCCATCTCGGTCGTTGCTCGACCCTCCAGGCTGCCTGTAGTGTCTGCTGGCACCATGCCATACCTGACAGCCGCCGTGACGACCTTAGTTGCATTGCCGACAAAGTCTTTGTGGATGCCATTGGCGGCGCGTTGTCGAGCGACCAGGCTGGTTCGGAGGAGCAGGTATGCCTGCATCTCCTCGTCCACCCACTGCTTGTACTTGCTGACCGTGTTCTCGCCCATGTTGATGCCTGCGCTTCCTTGCCCAATCAACGCATGTGCCTTCATGCGATCCACCAGTCCCTGCATCTCGACCTCAAGGCGTGATTGCACAAATGCGCTGGCGATCTTGACGACATCGTCGCAGAGTTGTGGATACTTGGATCGAAAGTTTGTTCCAATAGCTCTGTGGACGAGCTCACCGAGATGGTCCTTGCATCGGCGATGGTGTTCCTGTACGACGGACCCAAACCTTGCCTGTAGCGATGTGTGCGTGTTGGTGAGGTACGTGATCGGAGCGACCATGTGATTGATATGTGGGTCAGAGGCGAGCGCATTGATGATGTCATCAAGCGTTTGCCTCTTCTTCTTGAGCTTTGAGCGACGTACGAGTTGGCGGGTTGAGGTCCCAGGCTCAGCCGTAGGCTCAGTTGATGGCGAGCGGATCCGGAACTGGCCCTTGTCATCGGCGCCATAGTCGTTGTCGGCAGCGCCCAACCAGTAGCTTGGGCCGACGTCGTGGCCAAGGATGGCCTCGAATGACCAAGGTCGCGGCTCGTATGAGCGAAGAACTGCGGCCTCTGCAGCCTCCGTGGCAGTGAGCGGCACATACTTTGGCGCCAGGGCCATCAGGTGCAGGCGGAGGTAGGGGACGAGGTGCTTTGCAATCTCGCTTGGAGATATTCGCAGCTGCTCGTTCAGGCCATTGATGGCATCGATGAGCTCAATGATGACGTCAAAGCTGCGGATGCGTGATCCATACAGATCGACGTCGGTGTCCAGAAATTTGCCCAATACCAGGGACTGGTAACTGGTGGTCGGGTTCATGGCTGCGATGGCGTGGCAGGCAGCCTTCTGCTGTGCCGCTGCGGACTGGAGCCTCGAGATGATGGACGGCAGGGTGGCTCTGATGGCGTTGAGCAGAAGCCGGCTGAGGCGCAGGTACAGGGTCTGCAAGCCGCAGCATTCTTCGATGAAGTCGTGGCCCGAGCTCAGCAAGGCAACGGTCTTGTGCCAAGGGGATGTTTGCTGATTGTCATGCCTGAAGAAGGTGTTCTCGAGGCGACCAATGTCATCGCGACTCTCGTTCTGGGCGGGGCAACGAACGACGTGCCAGCCATGTTTGAGGTGATGCTTGCCGCTATGCTGCCCCGACAGTGATTCGTTGATCACCTTGGCCCACTGTCGCTCTGCACCATAGGGCATACGATCAGGCATGGTGAGCACGCCAATGGTGCGATCGCCTCGAGCGTCCGCCGTTTTGACAAGAGAAAAGGCATTTTGATGCGCCATGTCCATCGCGAAGGAGGCGGTGAGGACGATGATGGTGTTCTTGTCCGAGATATCGCGGAGCACCATGTTGCGAATGGCGGAGACGTCCTTTCCGTGGCCCTCAGAGATGAGGCCAGGCAGGTCCGTGAAGCGCAGCGGCTCGGCACCGGGGGCGCGGATGGAGAGTAAGAGCCTAGCGCCCTCGCGAAAGAAGGTCGGCAGATCGTCCGAGTCCTCAGCTTCCGTGAGCTCGTCCTCGGAAAGGAGGTCGTACTTGGTGCCGGTTAGGATGGGCTCGGAGCCATGAGCTGGCGGAGATGGCAATGTGAGGGACGTGAGGTCGCGCACCGCGAGCGTAGCACGACGGAGTCGGTCGGCAACATCGTCCGGCTGCTCGATAGCGTCTCCAAACTGCACGCGGTAGGCTTGGTCGAACACCGGGTGGGTCTTGCCGGATGCGGGCAGGAGGATGTGCACGGTGGCGGACCACTCGGCGCCTGCGTCGCTTGCCGTGATGGTGACGTCGAGGGGGCCTCGAGTGCACGTGCCCTGAGAGCGAGGTAGTGCGACGCCTGCCAAGCATTCGACCAGCGAGGTCTTGCCGGTGCTCTGGCCCCCGACGAGGACGAGCCTTGGGATGGTGGCTGTGCTGTCCGCAACTGCAGACGGGGTCGGCGATGGAGACCGGCCATCGTTTTGCGGCTGCAATGACGCAGGCACAGGGACTGGAGCGACGAGGGCGTCTACCTGCTGACACAGCTGTGTCAGGCGACGGACGACCGCGCCGTAGTCTGCGCTGGGCGGCGAGCGCATGGTAGGCAGGAAGCTGGGATCGGAAGGAAACGTTGCGGATCAGCTGGCTGAACGACGACGATGAGAATGCAACGGGTGATGAACATACGAGGTGGTGTTGATACCAAGGTGATGGTGCCGATGGTGTGGTGATGGCGAATGCAAGAGGATGATCACTGAAGCGAGACAGGTTCATCGCAGGTCAGCTAGCTGAACGACGACGAACGAGAATGCTATGCTCGATGGACTTACGGGAGTTGTTGGAATACAGAGTTGGTCGTGTCGATGATGACGGCGTCGGTGATAAAGTTGAGGCGGTGTTCCTTGATGAAGATGTGGATGATGGCGGTGTGGGTGACGGTGGCGGGATGATTTAGCAAGGATGATGGCAGTCTTGACTGTGCCGGGGCGACAGTGTTGAGGACGGAACATGAAGATGGGATGGAAGACGGCGGCAAAGATTGTTGAGAGGAACGGAGCTAGGGTGCGGGTGAAGGGTGGCGGGCGAACCGGTGGAATCAACAAGATGTGGGAGCGGGTGCGAATCGACACTGCGGAAAAGAGCAACGGCGGCGACGACAAAGCCAAGAGGATGCGTTGTGGCCCCAGCGTCCAGCTCCGGTCGTGTGATGCCGAAAGGGGACGGAGCTGAGTCGAGTGTGGCGATTGGGGCTGTGACACACGAGAGTTGGACGACGGAAGAATAGGCTAGGGGTGGCAATTAGGTTTAGAGTACAAGCGGAGCGTATCGCGCGCTGCCGCGGATGATCGTCTATGGATTGGTGCCGTGGGCTGACGGATTGGATGAGGGGTCTGAGGCGGCAGCGGTGTGCGCTGGCGCGGACTTTGATGAAGATGCGGACGGCGAGCCGCGGTCAAGTTGACGGTTGAGCTGTTCAGCGGTGCGCCACCATTGAAGCGTGACGGAGCGAATGCTGTTTTGAGCCTGTGCCAGGGTGTCTGATGCTGCGTCGCCGCCTTGCGCCTGTACTGCGCGGATGAGTTGAGCTGCAGAGTCGGTAGAAGAGTGTTTGCGCTCCGTCGTTGCGCGCCGGAGTAAGGTCTGATCGTCAAGTACGACGGCTCTTGTGGCGTCGGTGATTTCGTTGAGGTGGAGGATGCTCTGGAGATTTTGCTGGGTGGCGTCCATGTGTTGCATGGTCTGCTGGAAGCCGTCGGGCACGCGTGGTGCGGGGAAAAGGTAGATGACGACGACGACGGCGAGAAAGGCAAGCTGGCGTACGAGATGCAAGTTGGAATGCCAGTGGTTGAGGCGAGCCGATCCGGGAGTGACTTGGCCGAGCTCGAACATGATGAGGATCTCGATCGACACGAGAGCGACGAGGAGCGTGACGGCGGGGGTGCGCCATTTGCTGCGGTCCGCGTCGTCGGATTTTGAGGGCGGCGCCCGAGGTTTGCGCGAGAAGAGGCCGGCTGCCTGGCGAATGGCGACGGCGATCGAGTCGTCCGGATGAACTGTGATGAGCCCGAGAGCCAAGATGCGCCAGGCGTAGGCGGCCAAGAGGAAAGGGAGGGCGTACCAGAAAAAGTCGTTTGGCTTTGTGCAAAAGGTGCAGTCGAGCAGGGGCTTGGGACCGAGGAGGAGGTAGATGCGCCTTGCCTCGTAGCTGGATAGGCGAGCTATGAGTGCCTGAAGTTCTTGCTGCTTT